TCTTTGAGAAGTTGTTCTCAGCTTCTCAAAAGGTCTGATGCCACTCAATTCCCACTTGCTTCTTCCAAAACAGGCCATTGGGGCATTGTCCTTTCTTCCCTTCTGAATTCAGAATGCTAAGTTGGGCCCAAAGGAAACCAATGCAGTGTTTTCAGGGAACCCCCTCTGGTCAGGGATGTAGTACTTTGAACCTGGAAAGACTTCAGGGGTGATGCTAAACTCTCACCTCCTCCTCTTCACTCCCCCTCCCCCTGGTACTAGGAATGATGCGCTATCCCAAGACAGAGCTGTGGGCCCCAGCCCTGCATGGAATGGAGATCCCAGATCCTGAGGGCTCGGGGCTCATGGTGCCCATCCTGGGCATGGAGTATGCTGAGAATTCGGGTGATGCCACACCCCTGGCAGGCTCAATGGAAGATGCCCACAGCAAAGGTAAAAGAGGACTTGGGACCTCTGAGAGCTCAGGAAGAGAAACCCCACCCCCTGTAAAGCTCAGGAGGGGGTACCCAGGTGCCAAGGGAAGGGGTCATTCTGATCTTCTACTAGGACTGCTGAGACCCAAAATTAAAGGTGTCCAGAAATTCCAAAACCCCAGGACCATAAATCATGTATGCCTCCTCTAGAAAATTGGGTCTTTTCAAAGACCAGCACTTCGGAAACTCACCACCCATGCACCCCAGGGCTGTGGCCACCAGGAGCCCTATAACCCAGCTCAGAGCCCCTTGAAGGGCCAAAGGAGGTCAAGGGCTCTTCTGGCTTCCTTTTTGCCATGCATCTTTCTTCCTATGACTGCCCTTCCTTCCTTCCCCAGCTCTAGTTTCTAAACCAGTGGTGGGCTTGGCTTCCACAGGTCTTATCCCAATTTCAATCGGGGCTCAAGCCATAGACCCCTTGACTGGGGAGCCTGGTCCCGTCATTGGAGCTCAAAGGGATCCCTCTTCCAGAGTGGTGGTGCCCATTGTCCAGGTGCTGGAGTCGTTACCTCGAGGAGTGAGAGACCCTGGTCTGGTATGTGGGGGGATGGGTATTGAATGCATTTGTTCATTCATTATTCACTCAGCAACTACATACTGAGAGCTGTGTTCCAGGCAACATGTTAGGCATTGAGATACAAGGACAACTAGATAGGGCTCCCAGGGAACTGGCTGGCCGTGGGCCTTAACCACAGTGGTGGTTCACAAGGGTGTTAGGAGAGCTCGGGGGAGGGCATCTCAACACACAGAGGAGAGCTCAAGGCTTCCCTAATGAGGTAACACAGGCAGCAGAGAGACAGCCAAGAAAGCCGCTCCAGCCTCAGGGAAAGCAGATGCAAAGACAGCAAGTATGAGAAATGTGTCTTCCATCATGAAAGTCACAGGGAGCTGCTGAAGGGTTCTCGACATGGGATACAATCAAATATAAATGTAAGACTTTAAAATTTGGAAAATATGAAACAATACAAAAAATAAGTTACTCAGACATTTTTGAAGTATGTCAATGAAGAAGCAAAAGCTTCCCTGCCCATTCCTCTCCCTCCACCCACGGTCAACACCCCCATGGCATCCCAACCAGGCACTCCTTCCCCCTCCCCCCGTCTCTCCCACCAAATCCGGCCACTTCACAAGTTGGCACACCTCCTCCATTTATTTTTATGTTTATGTATGTGTATGTACAGTCAGCATTCTAGAAAGCTCTCCCTGGCAGCTGTGCGGAGGATGGATGGGAGTGGGGCCAGACTAGCACAGGAAGCCCCGTGAGGAGGTTATTGCAGTAATTCAGCAGTTGGCAGATCTCCACCAAAATGAAAATGATTTAGAGCCCCCCATACACTCTCAGTCTAGATAAGTTTCAGAAACTATGGTAAAAGGTATACAATAAATAAAAGGTTCTTGTTACCAGCCAAGAAATGACACCACTGTTTCACAGGTCAGTGTGTCTTCACTGTATGAGGGGGGTGAGAACAATTTCCTCCCGCTACCTGCCCATCTCCTCTGGACTTCCCAAGAGATGGGTGGGGGCAGGAGGCACAGGGGACTCTGGAGACAGCAGGTGTCACCAGGAGGGAGGGAGGAACCAGGGAGCTTGAAGAAAATGTGCAGTCATTTTTCTAGCTGAAACCAAGTCATTGGGAGACCAAGGTGGGAGGATCACCTGAGATCAGGAGGTCGAGACCAGCCTGGCCAACATGGTGAAACCCCGTCTCCACTAAAAATACAAAATAATTAGCCGATGTGGTGGTGGGCACCTGTAATCCCAGCTACTCAGGAGGCTGAGTCAGGAGAATTGCTTGAACCTGGGAGGCGGAGGTTGCAGTGAGCTGAGACCAAGCCATGGCCCTCCAGCCTGGGCAACAGCGCGAAACTCCATCTCAAAACATAAAAATAAAAATAAAACCAAGTTGACCGCCTCACCAAGTTTAGTCGTGGATGCCCGAGGTCAGGGAGGGCTATTATCTTGTGAAGCTTTGGGGATCTATAGTCAGACCACGTGGGATCATGAGCAGAAAATGCCAGTAAGCCCTAAACAGGCTGGACTTTGTAGCTGGATGTCCTGGAGAGGAAGCTGAGGGCCCAGGAGGCACCACCAGGAACAGGAGGAGGAGCTGCTGCTGGATCACCTGGGGCACCTGAGCCAGGAGCTCCACTTCGCTGCAGGCAATGGCATGGAGCAGCAGGTGAGACACAGAGGCACCACCTCACCGTCCCCGCCTACCCATCTGCCAAGACTGCACAGTTTTCTCTTTGAAAGTTTGGAGTCCTTCTCTCCCCCAACCACGGGAATGAAATCCATCTCAGAGAAGACACAGTCCCAAGATTCCCCAGCCCCAGGCGCAAGATTTCAGTCACCCCCAAGTATCTAAGCAGGACAGAGATGGGGAGGAGGAGCCACCATGAGCCCTACCCAGAGCTCCTGCCTTCCCCTCCAGGGCCCATTCCTTTGTCCCTTCTGTCCTACATAGCTAAGGGCTGCTGAGGAGGCCTGCCAGGCCCTGGAGTCCCACTGCCTGCAGGAGATGGAGAGAAGAGCCAGGGCTCTGAGCACACACAGCAGCCCAGAGTGGGGCCTGCTCTCTCAAGGTGGGAAAGCACCTCCTAGGCTCAGATCCCCACAGCAGAAATCTCCGGGGAGTGGCGTCACCACCGATAGCTGCCCCGTGAGGAGCCTCTCCTGCCCTCTGAATGTGCTCGGCTCTCCTGGCAGGTTCCCCTTACTCCGATAATCTATTGTCTTTTCTTCACCTCCCTACCCCTTTTCTCTGCCATTTGCAGCCGACAGAGAAGAGTGGGAACAGGAAGTGCAGGTGGTGCTGGGTGTGCAGAAGGTCCTGCAGAGTTTAGGGCAGGCAGCAGAAAAGCTCAGGCAAGCAGCTGGCCGGCTGCAGGGCCAGGAGGAGGAGATGTGGCTGCAGCAAAGCAGGAATCAGAGCCCACAGGTCTGGAAGCGCCCCAGGAAGGTGAGGCTCTGAGGCTGACGGGAGACCCGCATGTGATGAGCACATCCTCCCATGTCATCAGATGTGGCTCTCCAGCGCAATGTAATATTCAGGGGTAGGTGGGCTCAAGGAACCATGGAGGTGCTGGGAGGAGAGGAGGAAGAAAGGGAAAGAAGGCCCATCTTAACTTGGCCATTATGCTCCCTGTGTTCCAGGTGGTTCATCGTCTCTCTGATGAGTTCCGGGGGGTGGTGAGGGAGAGACAGAACTTCCTGGCTAGGGCCCTGGGTCAGCTACAGGACCAACGGGAATGGAGCCACCTCCAGCTCCTGCATACCCAGGTACTGATCCCTGGACTGGATTTGACCGAGGAATCTGTATTTCCATCTTTGACACGGGGCCTCAGGAAGAGACTCCCAAGGCAACCACGTGGGACAGGTGGGGACCAAACACGGAGCTCAGTGCTGACTACTTCATCCTAGATGATTGCCTCAGGAACCCCTGTGTGTTTGGAGAATTACCCTGGAGACATATTCTATGGAGCAGTCACAACTTCTGTCAGGAACCGGGCCGCTGCCTGTCCCATGATGATCCCTTTCCTGAAGCAACTCACTGCAGCACTAGTCGGAGCTCAAGGGCTGGAGGATCAGAGGCCAGGAACAGGTCAGTCTGGTCCCTATTCCAGCGTTGCCTTCTGCTGCCAATCCTGGCCATGTTTCGATAAGTCCTAATGCTACACTTAAAATTCCCGCCACCATAGGAGTGTGTCCCCAGTAGGTTCTTTAGGAAAAACATTCGAGGAACCCAATGCATTAGTTATTGATCGCCATGTAAGAAATGACCCCAAAATCTGATGGCTTAAAATGACATTTATTTTCTCACAGTTTCTTTGGGCTAAAGATCTGGATGCAGCTTAGCTGGACGTGTCTGGCCCAGGGTCTCCACAAGCTACAAGTAGGCCAGGACTGCAGTCATCTCAAGGCTTGACTGCTGGAGGATGGAGGATTCACTTCCAAGCTCACTCTCATGGCTATTGGTAGACCTCCAGTCCTCGTTGGCTGTTGGCCAGAGACAACAACTCCTGCCACAAGATCTTTGTGGGCAGCTCACAACATGGCAGCTGGCTTCTCTCAGAGCAAGCAGGCCAGAGAGTGAGAGAGGACAAGCAAAGTAGAAGCCAAAGTCCTTTTTTGAAAGAGTCTCTCTCTGTCACTGAGGCCAGCGTGCAATGGTGCAATCTCTGCTCACTGCCACCACCGCCCCCTGGGTTCAAGCAATTCTCCTGTCTCAGCCCCCCGAGTAGCTGGGATTACAGGTGCATGCCACCATGCTCAGCTAATTTTTTTGTATTTTTAGTAGAGACAGGGTTTCGCCATGTTGGCCAGGCTGGTCTCAAACTCCTGACCTCAAGTGATCCGCCCACCTTGGCCTCCCAAATTGCTGGGATTACAGGTGTGAGCCACCACACCCACCCCCACCATCTTTTTGACTCTTAATCTCAGAAATGACAACCCATCACTTTTGCCATGTTCTATCAATTCGACTGAACCATTAGAACCAATCTACATGCAAGGGGAAGGAATTACACGAGGGCATGGATACACATTAGGGGGTCGCTGGGGCCATCTTAGAGGCTGCCTGTCATACCTGATGTTACATCTGGCCCCTTTTGGCTTTGACCACATTCCTAGGCCCTCACCCCAATAACCATTGTATTCCCCTCTGTTCAGATACAGATAAAGCTAACTTCATCTGGGCTTCACCATTCTTCTCCATCCTGAAGAAAACAGACATCTGGTCCCAAGTCCACAAGGAAGACACTGAACTGCAAAAACAAGTGTATCACAAACCAGGTAACCTCCTTTTCCCTTGTAGGCCCTGTTTGGAATTATCATGGGAGCACTGAAGGTATGTGATGGTGTAACCCCTGGGGTCTAGGAATGTTAGAATCCTGCCTTGCCAAACATCTCTTTCTCTCACATCTCTTTCTCTCTATCCTCACACTAAAGTTCCCCAAGTGATTTTCCCATATAAAGAATAACAAACAGCAATCAAAGTCATCCTATAATTATAACTAGGCCAATTTCCAAAAGAGAATTTCCAAAGACCTCTGCCTTCCCCATCAAACACTGAATCTAAATCTTGGGACTTCACCCCATACCAGCCAGCCACATGTTATAAGGGGCTAATGGAATGGTATAAGGCAGGAAAGGGAGAAAATGAAAAGGGACAAAAACAGAGGAAATGAACAAAGACGAGACCTTGCTCCCCAAAGGGACCTCAAATCACTTTAGCAGTGCCACTCCTTGGAATTGGAAGTCAAGAGAGAATGTGGCTTGCCTAACCTGAAGAGCCAGGTCTGTTTCAACTGACACACCTCCCAAATGGAACAGAAGTAACAAAATGAATGTGTGCCTGTCAGTAGACCACAGTGCAGGCTCCAGGTAAGCACAGAGCCATGAACACCCCTGAACTTGAGCAGGGAAGTGCAGACTATGGCCCCCAGGCCATCTCCAGCCTGCTACCCGTTTTTGCATGGCCCACAAGCTAAGAAAGATTTTATATTTTAAAACGATTAGAGAAAAAATGATAAAAGAATAAAAATTTTATGGATTGCTTTATAATATGCCATATACTATTCTAACTCTTTAGATATATTAACTCATTTACTTTTTACAACAACCTAGAAATGTAGGTTCTATTACTCATCTTACAGATGAGGAAACTGAAGCTCCTGGATGGGTCAAGTGAGTATTCAAAGATCATACTGCTAGTGAGTTAGTTCAGCTAGGAGTCAATCCCAAAGAGTCTTTCCCCAGACCCTGCGCTCTGCACTTGCTTCCTCAGATGAAAACTTGTTCAACACTATAAAGGCAGTGCCAAAACAAGATGCAGGTAACACATTTTGGTGAGTTCCCAGGAAGGCAGATCACTTGCTTTTCTGGATCAGAGAAGCAAGAGAAGGCTTTGTAGGAGAATGAGGCCATGCTTCTACCGTGAGGTTAGGGAACACTAACTTTGAGCCCTAATTTTGGCTCTTGGCTAACAAAACCTAAAATATTTACTATCTGGCCCTTCACAGAAAAAAAGTTTACTGACTCCAGAACTTGACCAATCTTATTATTAATTCCTCCTTCCTTTGGGTGAAACTAAGAAGGGAATGGCAGAGAGGTGGGCTGTCCTTTAAGGGTTCCCATCCCCACTTCGATTTTCTTCGTCTTGCCATTATACTGACCTTATAATTTTGAGAGTAATTTTATATACATTGTCTTGTTTACATCTTGTAGTCTAGAAGATAGAAGATTATTAATTACTTTTGATTAGATGAGAACTAATGTTCAAAGAAATTCAGTGACTTTCTTGGAGTCTTACAGAACCTGGGCCAGGACACAGGTCTGACTGCTACCTCAGCGGTCGTCCTGAAACCTTGCTACCAATCCATTCTTTACTGTTCTCTCAAGAACAATAAAAAGACAGTAGAAATGTTAAATACCCAAGGCCCATTACAGACAATATTGCAGGGAAGTAAGATTCTTAACTATAGTTAACATTTGCTGAATGCTTACTATATACTAGACACTGTTCTGAGTACATTACATTTAATGCTCCAAGCAAATCAAGGAAATAGAAGAAGAAAATCTGCTGTCATCTTCTCTGGACGCTCATTCTGTCCTGGCCCCTCTGTTCCTAATGACTGAAACGCTATCATTTTTTCCATAAAGATGGACAGAAGAGCCTGTAGCATGATGCATATACACCACAGGAGGGGGATGGATGGATGGATGGATGGATGGTTGGATGGATTGATGGATGGTTGTAATAAAACCTTTTCCTAAATTGTGTTGTATTGTTAACATATCACTATTGCACAGAAAAATTAGTAAAATTATTACTGGTTTTTCCTGATCTCTGTAGACCCAAAGAGCTCTTTACAATATCTTCTACAACCACAAACAGTGCAAAAGGAAGAGCTGATAACTGTGCAACCCATTGGCCTTTCTGCCAGGGAGTTTGTGGTTTACCAGTACAGCCTCTCCATCCTGCACCTCCTCATCCCCCAGCTTCATGTAAGTTTTGTTTCTGCCTCTCTGTAGAGCACTCATGGAGCCTGGAAGGCCAGGGTAGTCAAGAAGAAGCCTTTAAGATGGCAGATATTCCCTAGGAATAAGCATCTAGAACAGCAAACTTTCTAGTCTTTCCTTTAAAGGGATTCATGGGAGTTATTTTACCAATCTAAAGTCTAATCTCTCAAATGATATTAATCACAGATAGAATGAATTAGTCACTTTCTACATGCCAGAAAATATTCTAATAATTTACACTGATTCATATAATCCTCACAAAAACCCTATGACACAGATACTATTTTTCCTATTTTAAAATTGAGCAGAAGAGACACCATGGTCGAATAAACTTCCCCAAGATCACACAGCCAAAAAGGCAGAGCCAAGGTCAAAATCCAGGCATTATGGCTGAAGAGCCCTTTAGTCTAGTCAATCCCTATTTAGAAAAGTAATAAATTGTCATATTTAGCATACATTTAAATGTACAGTTAAATACTCTTTCTGTTTTCCTGTATACTGAACCTACTTACCCTGTTGCAATTTAAATTAATGCCACGATGCATTTACTTCTCACCAGTTTGGTTGACGCTATATAGCTGAGATACATGAGAATTTTTTAGCAAAAGGATGGGTTTTGTTTTCTGTTTTTTATTCTTTTCAGGCTCCAGAAATCACCCTGAAGATTGCTTCTCATCTTCCTGCCATGGAAGCCCAAGGCAGTGCCTTCCAAGATGCCTTCTTCTATCAGGTGCTGCAAATTCATTCCCAGATGTGGGTTATAAAATTCTGGAGTCCAGTAAAGATAAACAAAAGCAAAAAGAACAAATTTTATCATTTTTTTCCTAAAATCCTGACGTATTTTATTCCCTCCTGGAAATAACTCATTTAGCTAAGGCATAATAAATGTCACAGTGTAAGAGCTCTCCCTAATCAATAAAATGAACATGTTCTGGCTTGTGCCCAGAGAAGCATAATAGTTTGGTGCCCATTAATAGATCTCTGTCGTTATCAAAGCCAGGGGTTCCAGGCTGGTATTTCCCGTAAGAGTTGTGGTTGCAGCTTGAGGAAATCCTGCACAATCAGCATCTTTCTACAGAAAAGGATCTAAATTGTTCCTGTCCTGGCAGTTCTTCAGATATGTAGATTGGAAGTGCCTTGCTGGCAACTCTAAGCAGGTCTATATAGACCTGATGACACTAATGACGGTCTATTGCTAAACAATTCTGAGAGGAGAAACTGCTCATCGATGCTGGAGGATTAGAAAAAGATTTACACTTGACTAGTAGGTTGTTGGGGGATTTAATAAAACCAGAAACTACTCACATATAGTACTCTCCATACATTATTTCACTTGATCCTCAAAGCAACTCTATAAAATAGACAAGAATTTAATCCTATTTTACGGATGGGTAAACAAACTCAGGTTGTGGTGCAAGTGCCGTGTGCCAGGAACTCCGCCAGGTGCTTTACAGGCATGGTCTCATTTATAATTCACAACACTACAGGGTACTTTTGGTATCTTTGTTTTAGGAATTAGGAAATTGAGACCCAGAGAGGCTAAGTAACTTCCCCAAATTCACAGAGTTAGCAAGAGTTAAGACTCAAGCCCAGGCATATTTGACACCAAAAACTCATTCTTATAACCAAGAGTCTATGCTGCCACTCACAGCTTAGTCAAAGGATAGATCTCAGATTGTCTGATTCCAAACTACCTAAAGTTTTTCATGCCAACCTACCTTCCCGTAAGAGAATGAAAAAGGGAGTTATTTTAAATCAATAGGCAAGAGAGGCGACTTGAAAACTTGATTACAATAAAGGCATGGAAGACGAAGAAAGCCTGAGAGCTCTCTAAGGCAGTGATTCTCAAACTGCAGTCCTTTGACCTCCTGTACCAACCACTTGGGGAGCCCAGGAAAAATGGAAGTGCATAGAATCCACAGAACCAGAATTTTAGGGATGGGTCTGGAGAACAGAATCACCCCCTTATGATTCTCATTACACAAAAGTGTGAGAACCACTGCTTAAGGAACAGTGATTGAAGGACATTGATAAAGAGATACATGAGTAACTCTGAATTTCTAAGTTTGTTTTCTGTAAGGTGGAGGCAGTAGGAAAACTTGGGAGACAGTAGAACAAATGACTTAGAGTTGAACTCAGTTTTTCCCTGGTCATTCGAATCTTCCCTTCAGTAAATTTCCATTAGGCTCAGAGAGTCTTGTTTTAGACCATGTGCCATAAACCTTGAGAAAGAAAGGGGCAGTGGAAATGTTACCAGAGGCAGACATCTCTGTGCTTGAGTGTTTTCTCCTCTCAGAGTGCAGAGAACACACTGTTCATTGCGAGAGAGTGCCTGGCCTCTGTGAGAAGCTTTGTTCTGCTGCTGATCCGCTGCCTGGCCCACATCACTGCTGGGGAACCCCACAGGGACTCCAACCCTGCCTTTTTGGGGTCATTTTACAAGGTATTTATTACATATACAGTGCATTTTGCTTCTCTTTCTCTGTGACTCAGACCCTGATCCCCAGGACAATAAATGCTTTAGGCTTTGCAACATTTCAAATCTACTTGAGTTCCACTGTGGCCTTTGGTTCCTCCTGCCTGGCCAGGAAGAGGATTTTCCTAATCAGATTTCCCATGGCAGCATATGACAAAATGCACGTACCACTGCTTCACAGAAGTGGTTTTCCTACAAGCACAGCATCTCAGCTTTCTGTGGCTGTTTAACTGTCCACACATAAACCACACCAAAACTGCTAAAGACAATGATAACCCACGGGGAGGGCAAGTGAAGATGAGAAATCTCAAGCCCCGTTTTCCTTTCATGTATTATTTTAAAGCTTTAATAGCAATTGTCTAGAAGTCCTACTAATCTGTCCCCCTCACCTTTTCTTCCCTTGACCAAGGGCCTGAAGGCCTATTTCACGGAAGCATTCTCTAACACACTGGGAATGTCAGCAGTTTCCAGGGACAATAAACTTGACCAAAGCATAAGCACTATTCTGCTGGAAGAGCAGCCCATCTCTGAAAGGGAAAGAGATCTTCTGTCTAAACTCATCGAAATGAAGCATGCATCTCCCTTGGAGCCAGAATCATTAGAAGAGGTAACTAACTTTATGACATCTATCACATGGCCTTGACTAACATGGACTGCTTCACAGAGTAAATGCCTCAGTGTATTCTGATATTTCTGACCTCCCACATGGTACGCTGCCTTGACATTCAGCCTGCTTCTCAAGTCACATATGACAATATTTTTTATTTGTTTTTGAGACAAGGTCTCGCTCTGCTGCCCAGGCTAGAGTGCAGTGGTGACATTACAACTCACTGCAGCCTTGACCTGCTGGGCTTAAGTGATCCTCCCACCTCAGCCTTCCAAACAGGTGCATACTACCATACCTGGCAAATGTTCATATTTTTTTTGTAGGGACAGGGGTTCGTCAGGTTGCCCAGGCTGGTCTCAAACTCGGGCTCAAGCAATCCACCTGCCGCAGCAATCCCAAAGTGCTGGGATTACAGGCATGAGCCATGGCACCTGGCCTCATGACAGTATTTTTTAAATCCTATTCTACAGGGCAGACAGTAGTTACATGACTGAGTCACAAGGAATACAAATGTGGGTTAAGTGTCTCATTAACATAGTATGAATAATTAAGCAGAATCCCATCTGTAAAACTCATTCTAAGTTTAGATGCCCAAGTGGCAGCATGTTTACCCAAACTTACAGTGTGCTGTTTTCTGTGCAAGCCTGATAATGATTTTTTTTTTTTTGAGATAGCATCTCTCTCTGTTGCCCAGACTGGAGTGCAGTGGCACAATCTCAGCTCACTGCAACATCCACCTCCCAGGTTCAAGCCATTCTCCTGCCTCGGCCTCCCAAGTAGCTGGGATTATAGGCACCCGCCACCATGCCTGGCTAATTTTTGTGTTTTCAGTAGAGATGGGCTTTCACTATCTTGGCCAGGCTGGTCTTGAACTCCTGACCTTGTGATCCACCCACCTCAGCCTCCCAAAGTGCTGGGACTACAGGTGTGAGCCACAATGCCAGGCTGATGATGATATTCTTAATACGTTGTCAAAGCACTTTTGCCAGGTGCAGTGGCTCACACCTGTAATCCCTGCACTTTGGGAGGCTGAGGCAGAAAGATCACTTGAGCCCAGGAGTTCAAGAACAGCCTGGGCAACACAATGACACCCCATCTCTACAAAATAAAAATAAATTACCTGGGCATGGCGGCACATACCTGTAGTCCCAGCTACTCAGGAAGCTGAGGCAGAAGGATCCCTTCACCCCAGGAGTTTGAAGCTGAGGCTGAAGTGAGCTATGATATACTACTGCACTCTAGCGTGGGCAGCAGAGTCAGATCCTATCTCAAAAAATACAATAAAGCTCTTTTTAAAAAAAAAATATTTCAGCATTTTAACTATTAACTCAACTCCAACCACACTTTCCTTCTCACTGTTCAAGCACACTGGGGACACTCCTAAGAGTTCCCTTTGCCAGAAATACTCTTTTTCCTAGGGCAGTGCTTTTCAGTAAGGAGCAATTTTTGTCCCCTATGGGATATTTGGCAATACCTGGAGATGTTTCTGATTGTCATGACTCAGGGGAGGGGGTTGCCACTGACTACTAGTGGGTAGAGGCCAGGGATACTGTTAAACAGCCTACAATGCATAGGACAGCTCCCACAGCAAAGAGTTACTCATGCCAACCCTGATCTACCCCCAACTCCCTCACCTCCTTCTTATCTTTGTTCACCTTCTCATTGAGGCCTATCCTGACTATCCAATCTTAATTGGCAACTCTCTTTTCCCCCTACTTGGCAGGTTTCTCTTACTCTACTCATTTTTCCTATATTCCTTCCTAACACACTATGTAAGTTACTTATGCTTGTTATTACTTTCCTTCCTTAGCTAGAATGTAAGCTCCATGAGGGCAGAGGTGTTGGTTCCCTTGCCCAATGTAGACCATATGCCAGGCTCACAGTAGGCTTGAGATGTATTATTTACTGTATTAATGAATAGATTTATATGGACCTTGAGGCAACATACTGAAGTCACAATCTATTTGAGCTAACTATAAGACAGATAATAGCAAACATTACATGTTTGCCATGTGCCACACACCATGTTATGATTGAGAGTTTTACATGCATTTCATCTTCTCATTTAATCTTCTCATGCTCTTATAAGGTGAAAGCCACTTTTATTTCTAACTTATAGATGAGGAAACTGAGGCCTAGAAGTGTTTAAAAAAGAAACTTGCCTGAGATATAGTAACAGTTGCAGAGCAGGAATGTTAGTCCTCCAACAACCACCATCTATGAAGAGATCTCACTTTATTTTAAAAGAAAAATTGTACATCGTACTCTCAGGTCCACATTGTGGCTAAGAAGATCCAAGGGTACTTAAAATAAATGGTAACAAGAGTATTAACTCATCCACATTCTCTACAGTATATTAAGAAAAACAAAGATCTTCTGCTCTTCACCAATATGGAACATTTCCTAAAAAGCATCCTTGCAGCAGAACAATGAATCCTAAGAAAACCAAGAAATCAATTTGGGAGTGAAGATAAGGTGAGATACCCTTATGATCAACAGCATTAAGATGATAATTAGCTATATGCCAACTATTTATTATTGTGTTCGGGCCACATTTCTAACTGAACATGTCCACAGAACAAAAGGTTGGAAATTAGTGATGGTATGAAAAAGTGTCATCACTTCCTTTAAGAGCTTCCCCAATACCAACTGAGAGGGTAGATCTCAGATTTCAGAAAAGACCCAAGAGAGAAAAAGAGTTCATTCCTTTC